CAATTTCAATTCAATTTGATTCATTCAAGTCGATCTGAAATGTACATTGAAAAACATTATGCATTGAGAACATAATTATATGTAGGATACACAGTATACATTGGAAGACTACAAAACTTTAAACACACAATTAAAAAGAGAAGTAAAGACAAGAGTAAGAAATTTAAAAACAATAGATAATGAACATGAAATGGGAAATTACAAAAGAACCAAGTAAAGGTTCTGTCGAGGCGATCCCCAGCCTATCAAAATACTTACATTTTTACTAATAAAGAATTAGAAAAGCATGGTGACATTATGGCCCATAAAAAGAAGAAAAGTTATAATAGTTATAAAAGTTGGGATGGATTAATTATGTTGTAGAGTATGTGAATACAAAACCTTATTAAAGTTTTGATTTATAAAAAGAATTAAGAAACGAAATTGTTTTAACATAATAATAATAATAATAGCTCACATTTATAATGCGCCTAATACTACGTTTCTAGGCGCAGAACATATTATTACCCCGGTCATCGGATTCAGGCTTACCCGCATACAAGGTATGCACATTCTCCACTCCCTGGGGAGCATTCCAGCCAGTCGCCATTTTACAAGCGCCATTGCTAATCAAACCACATTAACTTTCGCATCCTACCGGGTACCCATTTTAACACCTGGGTGGAGAGTGGCAAATGTAGATCAATGTCTTGCCAAAGGACATTAGTGCCGCGGCGGGATTTGAACCGCGGACCTTGTGATCCACAGTCCGGTGACATATCCTCTCGACCACGACACCTCTACATAATGAGGAAGAGAGTTCCATGTTGACGGTCTTTTTGATTTGAAACAGAGAGATGATGCTTGTTTTAGTTTTTGGGATGAAATAACTTTGTAGTACTGTAATATTTTCTTGTTATGTAATTGTGATTTACTTTTAATAGTCATATACATTGTATAATTATTAAAAATGAATTATGTTGTCATAATGTTCGTTTCTCAAATGATTAAAAAAACCTTTTTTATAATTATGTTTCCGTTTGGATAAACTAGGACTTTGGGAAATGCTTTGGTTCTATGTTATGTACAAAACGGAATTGGTGTTTTGAGAAATAAATTCAATGACTACAAAAAGAAATGTTGCTTTGTCATTAATATGTAGAAACATTGAAATCTAGATAATCAGAATTACATGAATGCACACGAGGGGGAAAGAGAAAAACAAAAAGAGATGTAAAGCAGAGGGGGGAGGGAAGAGAGAATCCACTTCATACTCACCTTTAAAGCCGCAGTTTATATAGAATTAATAGAAGGAGAAATATACTGCATCATTTCGCTTCATTCACATCAGACAATTATATTACCTTCTTTTCTCCTCCTGTTTGCCTCAAACACTTACTCTCACAAACTTAGTAATACACCCCAGACTACATAGTCTACACACATATGCTCGTTTCTTCTCTTTTTACATTTTATCTCACTTCCGTGTTTAACATCCTAAATTTGTCATCTTCCATCAAAGCGGCACAGTATATTATTACCCAAGCTAGACGTCAGCTGCTATTCTAAGCTTCGTTATATAAATTCCAAAAGAACGTTGACAACGTAGAGATTCCTTCGATAATGAAAACTTTGTCGGAGGAAGAACAATTCATCAATATCTATTCCTAATTTGTACTTCAGACGCAATCAAGATGACGCGAAGTTGCATATAGTCCAACTTCAATCTACTGCGCATTTGGCAGTGATGGGCCTCTACACTTTCAAAAGCAAATCACATGATATGCATGCATATAATGCAACTAAAAGGCACCGTTGCACTCTGTTAATAAAATAATATATATGTGAATAGCAGCAGGTGCAGTCTTCCGTTGGGTCGCTGTTTCATACAAAGTCTTATCAGTGACAAAGTACAATACATGATAATACTATATGATACTGAAATCCTTGCATTTGTCAATTGGCTGTAAACAAATTTGTTTGGCACTTGTAATTGATAACAAGTCTAATGACGATAAGGCCTACACGAACTGTTAGCATTAGTCATGGGATGCTAATGATCTTGCTTTTCAATGGACGTGTTAACAAATTGTATGCATACTATTGTAAACAATAGGTTCTTTTGATGACTGAAAAGCTCGCCAGAGGGTTGCCCGACATGAAATGAATCGTCATAACATTACACACAACCACAAATATATGATGTGGAAGCAGTACCTACATCCAGATTTATTTACAGATATAAACAATGACGAAGATGATCATTGTTAACGTATTATTAAACTAGATGGGGGGGGGGGTCAATGTCTCAACATTTAGTTGTTCCTGCTTTATGTTCACATTTTGTGGGGGAAGGGGTCCTGTTATATAGAAGTGTCCTTTTATACTGACAGGTGCTCCCTTCCCTTTTAAAATGATCCACCACCCCTGAGATACATTTTTTTTTCTCCAGTGTTTCCATGTTCACGGGTTTTCTTTATAGGAAATAATCTACCTATAGCTAGTGTGCTCGTCAAATTAATGAAATCTATATAATCAGAAACTTATGTACACTCGCTTCATATGAATGTCATGTGACTTTTAAATAATATAATAAAACCATTCTGCCTTTGTAACGATTCCTCCTTCAAAGGGCAATCTACAAACATATTGGAACCATACACGGTGGACAAATATTGAATGAATGGAGTGGCAGGTCTCTCAATCATGTTCATTTAGGAAATTACGGAAGAATAATGCTTTCTATTACCTGGGGACTTCTGAATCTGGATTTGAATCAAGTAGACAATTGACAATTATTTTACAAAGACCAGGAGCGTCTTTCAAAGTGTGGAAGAAAGGGGTGGGAGGGCACCAACAAAATGGGCACTTTCTTGAAGAATAAAAAAGGCACGTACAAAGGAAAATGTCAATACGAAAACAATCAATTGTTAGACATTGGTATATACCCCTACATATTGATAACATTATCCGAGATGATTTCAATGTTTTTTCTGCTCTCTTTACATGGTCCAAGATACTGCTTAAGCATCATGTTTTGCAGTTGGGTGCGATCATGGTCTGAATACTTATTTGTGAGCCAACGAAGCGAGTGAGCAAAAGGTCGCAGTTCCCCCCCCCCAAAAAAAAAGCAAACAATGACATATCAAGTGGAAAAACAATCATGAGAGGCTGAAAGGATCTTTATATGAATCATAATTATGTCAATTTCAAATTCATCGTTCGAGCTTTAAAAAGGAGCACATTTTATGTTGAAAGTAAAAAGGAGCACACATTCTAAAGCACAATATAGAAAAGAAAAATAGCACATGTCAAATCAAAAGGGAACATTATCAGAGGTGAAAAAGGCGGACTTCTCTCACCTGATGAGTGACACACACCAGAGATAAAGAAAGCCACTAGAACGGAAAAAAGACACTTATTACAAAGGAAAAGGGGCACAATTCGGGGTGTCGTTAACTCGTCTACCAAAGACCTTTTAGTATTCACTTGGAATGTACTCGAATTGCAATATATCTTTGTCTAAGTAATACCTGAAGCTCTTATTTGAATATACTATATAGCCATGTGAAACACCTTAAATCAACAGCACGGAATGTTTTGGTGATTGGTACATTTAAAACTTACGGCATGGAATTGAAAACACGACCAATTAAGTAAGTAAATCATGAAAAGCTAGGGCTCCACGAATTTCCAACGGGGTTAGCAGAAAATTAACAAAAATAAACATGACTACCAAACTACTCTTCAAATATTTGAATGAAAATGAAAGCAAATAAACAAGACTACCAAACTACTTTTCACATACCAAAATGAAAATAAACAAAACAAACATGACTACAAAACTACTCCTCAGATACCAGAATGATAATGATCAAGATAAATACGACTTCAAAACTCCTCTTCACATACTACAATGAACATGAACCAAGACCAAACACAATACTACCAAACTACTCTTCATAGTAACGAATGTTTTGTGAACGCTTAGGGACTACTCTTTACACTTTTTACAAGTGACATTTTTGATTAAATAAAGATATATTTTGGATTATATGAAGCTATTTATTTATCTGACAAACAATTGTAATTGTTACACATTAAAAACGCTGCTTAAAAAAGTCATGTTCACTTACAGTTGTACACTATCTTAAACAACAGTTGAACAAATTGTAAACAATGTTGCTCGAAACGAAAGTAATTCTGTTAAAAATTCGCTGTTTAAAATGTAATGACTGCTATATTTACTATACGAGAGCTTTTAGACAGTGTTGTTTACATATGACGTCATGTGTCACATGCCAGGAGAGTGCGCGTTGGCTAACATAAAATCTTTGAGTGACCAGTTTTACCATACTCATTTCCTCCCTTAGACTGTAGTGTTTCGATTTCAAATTATAAATATCTTGATAATCAGTCAGGCGATCAGCTTGTAAAAGTTACGGGGTTCCTGACTGACCCAAAGTTTTATAATTATCATGCTTCGAAATTATCATGAAGTGCCTCCAAAGAATAAAATCTTTGAGTGACCGATTTTACCATACTCTTTTACCCCAATAGACTGTATTTTTTGTGTTTTTTTAACCGTTAGGATGACGGTTTTCGAAATTTCGATTTCCAATCATAAATATCTGGATAATCAGTCATGGGGTTCCTGACTGACCTTAAGTTCTGTGTTTATCATTGCATCATGAGCTAAATTCATGATTTTGTTTCAGAATCTGAAACAAAGATACCCAATCCTTTAAAAATACATTATTCTATGTTTCGTGTCTCTGCCATGGCATGCTTGTAAATGAAATGGACATGAAACACTAGATAGCTCCAGGAAGAAATTAATTTTCCTTTCCTTATTCTCCAAATTGATTTCTGCTTATATTGTTCAAAGCACAACATTAACCTGATTCGTGGGGCAGGCTTCTCGGGGCAATGTAATCTTCTTATTCATCCTCTTCTTTCTCCTCCTTTCCCTCTTCCTCAGTGTCTGGGTCTATGGCTATTCTTCATGACGTTGGAGTGGCTCAAAGAATCCCATCTAAAAGATACAATCAGTCAATAACAGACTCAGAATATTGATCTTTGTCATTGAGGCTACTGATGCATTTATTAAAAATTATTTTTTCTTATAAGACAGGTGGGTGATCTTGACAGATAATGTACAAACAATAACTCAAACACTTTTTCTTTCAATATTTCATTATTCATTTAAAGGGATCCGGTAACTTTCTCTATTAAGACCCCTGTTACACATACGTCTGAAAGTGGACTGAGGCCGGCCCCGGAGGCGGCTCGAAGTATGTGTAACATCTTCTATTTTTTAAAAGCCGGACTGAGGCCAGGTGGACTCAGTCCTGCTCTGGATGTGGTTCGAGGCCGGCCCGAGTCCGGACTCAATCCCGCAATCAGTAGGTGTGACACCAAAGTGGACTCGGGGCCGGCTTATAAGCGCAAGTGACGTTACCTGTCTTGCCAATGCGACCCCTCCCCCCACCCCCCCCCCCCCCCCCACTTACTTGCTGCCAGCCGAAGATGGCGTGATAATCGAATTAGAATGCCCGTTTGGCGTCTTATTTTGTTGTACCATTGCGAGTCCAGATTGAGCTCGCGAAGGAAAACAGATTATGTGAGAAATAAGTCGTGAATATGATTACCTGGTGTGCCCCCAGTAGAGGACGGGATGAATACAGGTGTATCCACGAGTGTTTCTTCGCCTGAAGGGACAAGAATTCCAAACCCCTCTAATTCTAGAGAGATAAAGAAAGAATAGTTAAACAGGTTTAAGATCAAAATACTGATTTTGCTTAAGCAGAGAAAATAACTATATACGGGAAATGACACAAAGATATTAAGACTATGTGGATCAGATTTTAAATGCGAAATTCGTCAACTCTAAAAGGACAAGGGGGTAAATCCCCTCCCGGCCTAGTCAATATGTCCCCTCTATGTTAACCGTCTAGCACAGCGTTTTTCAACCGGGGTGCTGCGATATCCTGCGGTGCTACAAAATGATTTGTTTATATATTTTTTTTGTATTTAAGGTGTATTTTGGAATAACGTCAACATGAAAGCAAAGTATTACAGACCGTTAGATCCCCAAATATTTATAACTTTTGATATTTTGATGAGGAAAAAACATCAGAGATAGTAAAGTGTCGTTTTCCTCCATGAATATCCCTATTATGATATTAAGATATTCGGGTACCTCGATTCAGTTGTTTTCTTTTCCTCGTACACAGAGACGTACGAACACATTTTGAGTGAGGGCCATGAGGACGTCTTGCCAAAGAACTTACAATCCAGATCCCAAATATTGCACGCGAGCGAGCAAACGATGGCAATTTAATTATATGGCAAAGATTATATGTTGTACACACCAGATAAAATGTAACAATATATTCAGTCCTGTTGTTGCTAGGAATCATCCTGTTTCATAAATTTTGCAAGAAGGGAAACGGAGGAGGCTTTGGGGGCACTTTGTTGTGGTATAAATTTCATTTAGATGAATACAATTCAATAGATAAGGTTATATTCGGGCGCCATAATGCCTGAATCGTGGTCTCGTAATCCGAACACCCGGGTTCGAAACCAAGGCGATGCGCTATAGTGCCCTTTGGTACGGCATTTATCCTTATTACCAGGACCCTCGGAGAGGACTTAACGCCGTCTGTCCTCTGGTTGCATGCTTACTATGCTTTCTTAGCTGTCAGGTAAAATAACCGCCACTAGATTTTATTATTCAGCTGTTTTTCTCACTTTTCAGCATCGTTTCACTAAAAGCAGCTGGATATATTATACTTTGGCAACAACTTTAAACTTTTGATGGGCAAATAATTATTCATACTTTTATTTGTAAAGGAACTTTTTTTGAACATTATTTTGTTTGCAATTCAAAATTTAATTTTTTTTCTCCCATGTTTATGATCTATTTATTTCTAACTGACACACATTTTTCAAATTATGCACTTTGGTGATTCTTGTCAGAAAAATGTTTGCAGGATAATGACTATCTCTACTCTATTTCGATTTATGTTTAGGAAAATAATTTTGCAAATTGGTGTTGCCCCTGTTTCCCTTTATATAATACTTTACAGTGATTCTACATCAAAGCCTCCAAATACGCATTATGCATACAAATACTTGAAGCACGAAATTGAAAAGGAAAATACCTTATTGATAATAATTATTAAAAAAAGATTTGTTTAGCGTTCAATACGAAATACCATCTGTAAGCGCTTTACAATATATTATTACTCCGGTCATCGGATTCATTCACGCACAATTACCCAGTTTTATAACTCATATTGGAGGCTGAATGTTGATTCGGGTTTTTTTTCTCAAGAGTTCTGTCACATCTTGGCTAGTGTGTTGACTATTGATGATATTTGAAATGCATGATGGGCTTTGTTTTTTAGCTCACTAATTTTGTGTCAACACTATGTGGTTTTCCGTTATAAATTAACATACTAAAGAGTAATCTACGAACCTGCTTTGATGACATCAGCACAGTCCTTCATTTCATTGTCTAGAAATCTCTTCCTCAGATTCAGAGCACTATTACTCTTCCGTCCATTCGTCATAACAAACTTGGACAAGAGAGTATTGAATGCGCTCTGTGGATTCAGGGCGACATTGGCCGCCACCGCTGCGGCAGTGCCATCGGCTGCGCTGAATCCAAGGTATAGGCTAAAGTTCACTGCGGGGACATTCACAAGATTAATCTTCTGTGACAATGTCAGCAAAAATATGTCAGTCAAAATCTCCTTCATCAAAAGTTGCGAAGTGCTAACGCAAGAAAAGAATACATATATTTGAAGAAGAAAAATAGTAGAAAAACACCATGATCTTTAACATTAATGGATATGTTTTCATTATAACATAATTTGTTTTTAGAACAAGAAGGGTGTGCGCTAAAATACTTAAACACACAGTTAACACCATAGGCGCCGGAAGTAGGGGGGGGGGGGCGTGGGGGTGCAAAACACATTCCCCCCTCCCCCCCCCCCCCCAAAAAAAAAAAACAAACAAACAAACAACAACAACAACCCCCTCCACAAAAAGAAAGGAGTAAAGGAGTAAATATGGTTTGTATTTTTAACCCAAAAGAACATAACATCAATAAAAACCTGAATCAAATCACATACAAGATTCCATTCAAAGAAAAGGAAAGTTAACAGCAATTCAATTTCCTAAACATTCCGCATGCCACTTAGGCCTATATTTATCAATGGAGGTTTTTAAAATAGCGATACGCGCATATCGTGGAAACATTGTGAGAGGATGGGAAAGCGAGTGTGTTTTTGTTATAAGGGTGAGGAGATAGGGGTAAGCCCGTGAACGCTGGCGTAGTAGTAAGGGGGCGGTTATTTCTTATTCGATTTCAGTGATTTACAAATGTCGCTGAAATTACATGATTTTCCGGTATTTTCTCAATTTTTTGTAAGCCATACCTTTGTATGCGTTTGTTGGAAAATTAGAAACTCCCACATTTACAGTCGGGCGAAAAATATGTTTATTTAGAAGCCTTCATGTCAGGGCTTGCAGAACGGCTGTGCTCGGGGGCTCGAGCCCCCCTCACTTTTTGAAAAAAAGTATGTTACAGAGAAGAAAAATAGAAAGAGGGAGAGAATTTGCGCTGTACCTGATCGTTAATACTCCACTTTAAAAACAAGTTCCGGCGGGCCTACATGTAACCTGTAAGAGTGGTGGTGATGCAGATTTTTCTTCTGCCCCCCTGAAAGGTGAGCCCCCTGGAATGTTTGCCCCCCCCTCCCAATCCCAAACTGCTTCAGGCGCGCCTTCTTAACACCCTTCTGGTCCCAAACAGACACTTTTGATAACGCTGTGAGAATCATTTGCTTTAATAAGTCTGACATAGCAACAGCTAGTGTAATTTGAAAAGTTGTATTTTTAAAATCCATTTAGAGCGAGAGCTTTAAGGCATGGTAATAGTAACCATGGTCTATTGTAGGATGAGGATGCGCAACCGCCCTCAGCTTTACTGAATCCTGGAATTTTGCAAGATTTGTTTGCACAGGAAACGATGTCAGATTTGGTAGGGTCGGGATTCTGGATGATTCTTAGGGGAGGCGATAGCACAATCGGGGTAATTTGGTTTTAAATAAAGGCATTCATATAGATCAAGCAATCAGTTAATAGGCCTACCACATTGGAAGTGGTTGACAAAATCAACGATCTAAACTTCATGCACCCTTTCTCGAGTGTATGCTCTTGCTCCAGATCGCCACTGAGAACCTATTGGAAATCTATTTATTCAGATGGTCATTTCTCAGCTGATACTTAACATATTCAATTGGTTTTCGACATTTGGACATTATTTATGATGCTCTTTCGGAAAATGAATACAAAATTAAGAAATTCCATAAATTGATTTATATGTCACAGCTTCGGTACTTTATTGCGGTGAGTTTGACACCATTTCCATTTACTCTGATATATATATATATATACATATAGCTTATCATTGAATCAATGCAGTCCTTAATACCGAAGCATAATTCGCACCTCACGAAGTACCACATAAGTCTTCAGGGAGAAATATTTGACCAATTTTCTTTAGCACATCGTTCAGGGCTTCAAACTTTGTGGCCCTTTACATTCTCTCATCCCAGTCTCGGAGCATTAATAGTGTGTATCAGTGTGATATTTCTGCATTATTCATGTTTATGTCGATATAACGTTGGATATTTTCTTGTTTTAAGCCGAGAGCCGTCCCAAGATCACTTATATTTTCAGGCTTGACACCGCTATGAGCAATAAATGTCAGTATTTTGTCAAAGTCTTCCTGTGTACCTGAAATTTTACTTAAATAAATGATTTATAAAATGTTTATACGTTTCTAATTAACTAATTTACAGAAAACAGGGTAAAATATCTCTCCTCCAAAGGCTCTAATGATTTCAGGTTTATACCTGCACACGCTGTGATCTCAGTCTGAATCTACCAAGTTACTAACTATGATCTTAACTTACTCCAGAGTTTCACCTGTACTTGGATGTGATGTCTGCACTGTCTGTGAACTTGATGCATCTTGCAGTTGTTCTGAAATTTCAATAACCAGAAAAGAGTAACGTAAAACTACATGTATTACTCATTATCCAATAATTCTGAGTGCTGAATAAAGTAAACTGAATATTCCACTACATATTTGGTATCAAGACCAATCGTTTTATTTAAAACCTCTCCTAGGTTCAATAATTTAGCATTTCACAATTCACGGGATAGAGAGTTAATTTGTGTTGATATTACATCCTCTGAATTCTCAGAATAAAGAATAGTTTGATATTATATTACCAGAAATCACGGAATCTTTAGGGAACATAACTTTTGTATAACCGGAAGAATATTTGTAAAGGACATCTGAAATAGCTTTCCTTTCTGGGATATAACAATACGCCAACTTGAAATGTTTTATCAGGTTAAAATTAATAAGGTGTTTTGGAAGCATTCACAGGGGGAATCGTTCCCATTTACAGTGACTTTTGTTTGTAGTGAATTAAGGCATGGAGAATTCATCAATGATTATAATGATAATAATTATAATGTTGAATCTCACACAAATGTAGGAAATATGTGATTTCTTGCACTTAAATGAACGTTTCATCTCAAAACAAAGCTACAAAATAAATAACAATAATAATATCGAATATTTAGGAGCACTAAAAACAATAAGTATGACTATGATTGAGTGCAAACATAAATTAAACAGAACTCGTTGGGAGAGGTAACCAGTGGAGCTCCTTAAGTAAAGGTGAAGTATGAGTTCTTGACCCAAGGCCAAGGATTAATCTAGCGGCACGATTCTGAACAGTTTCATGTTTCCTTCTATCTTAAGCAGATGAAACAGTATAAAGACTATTGCAATAATCTAAGAGGGAATTAGAGCTCGGACAGCATGGTGACATGTCTTTAAATCAATAAATATACGAATCCTCCATAAATTGCGGAGATGATAATTACAATTACGGACTACGTGGTTTACATGAGAGGTCAATTCAAACATAGTATCGATGCATACACAAAGATCTGTAATTTTAGGGGAGAGGGGAATGAATTAACCATTTACTTTAAGCCGTACATCTGATATGTATTGTAGATGGCGAGCAGAAGAACAAAAGGCCATGAATTCAGTTTTGTTATTATTCAGTTGGAGATAGTTCGATGACATCCAAGTGCTAATCTCTGCAATACACAGTGAGATTTGGTGAAGTGTTTCGTTAATGTTTTCCAGAAGAGCGTGGATCAAAAGAAGTAAACAACTGAATATCATCAGCATAGCAAATACACTGTAAACCACGTGTATTAATAATATCAGATATGGGGGTGATATATACACTGAAAAGGATCGGTCCGAGAACTGACCCTTCAGGAACTCCAAAGTCAGATACCCATGGCTCAGATAATTCCCCAGCTATATTTACCCTGGATGACCAACCAGTTAGGTAAGACTTCATCCACCTAAGAACTACACCGGATATATGAAAACGAGACTCTAAACGATTCAGTAATATCACATGATCGACCGTAACAAAAGCTGCACTAAGGTCTAATAAGACTAAGAAAACTGACCTCCGTTGATTAAAAAATGTTAGAACGTCATTCTGTAGCTTCAAATAAGCTGTTTCAGTGCTGAAATTGGACCTGTAAGCTGATTGCATTGCTGGATCATATAAGTTGTTATCATTTAAGTGGTCTGTGAGTTGAATAGCTACTACCTTTTCTATCAGTTTGGCAATATGTGAAAGATTACTAACAGGCCTGTAGTTACGTAAAGTATCCTTTTCTAAGTTGAGTTTCTTGGTGATAGGTACAACTACAGCCTCGTGAGCAGTTTCTGGGAAGATACCAGATGCTAAAGAACTGTTTACAATACAAGTCAAGGCAGGAACATTACAATTGATAAGTTTCTTCAAAAGTCAAGTAGGTTGAGCATCTAACATAGAAGTAGCATTAGACATATTAATTACAATGCATTTGATATTATCTTCGCTGACATTTTCAAACTCATTCCAATCATTCTCATGAACAGTATTGCACATCTTACAGCCTTCACTACTTTCTGAAGGTGTGCCTGTGACATTGTTGTGAATATCACTTATTTTATTGACAAAGAACAAAGCAAAACCGTTTGCTAAATCAGTAGGATTGTCATACATATATGGAGAAGTTTGACATTCTTGTGGAGCAGATTATTAACCGTTTGAAAAACAGTTTTGACACTAGCTTTACAGAGTAATTCCATTATGTAATTTTGCTTGGTCTTAACAATTATATGATTAACATGCCTGTTAGCTAACTTAAAAGCTGTATGATCTGTCTCAGAAAGCTTTTGATCCATTTCCGCTCAGCCTGTCTTCTTACACGGCGTGTAACAAGGATCTCCTCATTGAACCAAGGATTACGGACCCTAGTGGAGCAAAGAAATGATTTGTGCGGGACAATTACTCGTCGACACAGGTTGCCACGTTTGTGGTATAGGCAGCAAGAAGTGAATTGACATCTTCAGTCATAGAAAGCGGGTCGTTGACTCTAACAACCAGTGCTTCTTTGAAGCCTTCAACGTCCATCTCTTTGAAGTTCCGAAAAATCTGCTGTACTTTGCACATCACTCGCTTGGGACACTTCAGTACAAAGCGTATACAGTGACAATCAGACATTCGGTTGCGGTGTATGACAATGTCCTCTATGACGCGGTCATGGATAGAATTAATGTCTGTAGAGAATTGTCCCTGTAGATTACCCTCATTCCTGGTCATGACAAGGTCCAAAGTGTGACCCATGTTTGGGTAGCATCATGAACGAGTTGAGACAAGTTTGCTGATTCTATGATGGAAAGGAACTGGGCTACCTCAGACTTTCAACGCATATCAACGTGGATGTTAAAGTCTCCCAGGAGAAGAATTCGTCCAGATAGCCGTGATATCTCAGCGGTAAGATCATCAAGTTCTTGAAGAAAGTCTGTACGAAACCGATTTCGTGAAGAAGGTGGGGGTCGATAAACTACCAGGAAATGAATCGAACCTGCATTACTAACAACGTGTACGAGTTCAAAGGTGGAGAAAGTGACAGATTCACAAACTTCATATGTAGTTGAAGTTTAGACTTGAAAATAACTGCCATATTGCTCCGGTTGTCTCATTTTCGCTCGCTGGACCATTAATTGCCAGCACAAACATAGCTAGTTCGCCGTCACTACCAAACTAGAATGTTCCACTATATGTTGCAGGGTGTATATGCCATTGGGTGTGATGTGTGAACCGGGTGTGCGGAAATGATGTGTTTGGGAAGGGAAGTGAGAGTGTTTATGTGTGTGGTAATTGTATGCGTGTCAACAATTAAGACTAATACATGACAGATGGCTAATCATAGATCTACAATGACGAGTGAACTGTGTAAATCACAGTCCACAGATAAATGTGCCTTGAACGTATAGCAGACGGCAATCGGCGGATCAGACGACACTTGAAAGTGATTTTGTATGTGAGATTGCTTTGCTAAATATAAAATACAAGAACCTATTCCATATCTTTAAACTATCATTGATACCTGATAATCAAACAGTTAGTAAAATAAACCTACCAAACTACATAATACAATGAAATACTTGACTGAAAGTAGAGGAGTTTGATGTGGTGCACAATTGCACCCCTCTGTAAATAATCGAATAGTCCATGGCGTTTCTGAATATTCATGTATTTGGTTACCTGGGCAAAATGCTTGCCTATACTAAATGGAAAAATTACGGTGGGGGTTGGCTGAAATGGACATAAAGAACCAATCAGAACTGATCTATGATAGTTCATGCTTGTTATCCTTCGTGTGCTTGACCTATAACCTTACAATCGCGTGGGAAATTGAGTCCAAAGTTCGACTTGTGGCACATGTGTTATATAGGCAATGACGAGCTTGCGACCTATTTTGATTAAATTAAGGTGGGTGAACTTTCACAAGTCAATGGGAAATGAGGGTTCCAATGAAAGAGCTAGTGATAACGTACGTTGGGGTGGATATGCTTTTCGTTTAAACCAAAAATGAATTTTTAACAATTTTTTTGTAAAAGTCCATAGGCTAACGTACATGTTAGGCTGCTGGACTCTGCCGATAGGGGGCGTTGTCAAATGAGACTAAACTTAGCTATATGAGTGCCTCCATGATGATCGGTCGGCCTTGGAACATTCATAAACGTGTACCCAGGTGGAGAGCATTCGGCGATGAAGACTAGATCTTCTGCTCTAAGCCACGTCTCAGTTATAATCATTATATCAATATCATGTTCAGAAATGTAATCATGGAGTAGGAAGGTCTTATTACATACAGAGTGAGCATTCCACAAACATATCTTTAAACAAGACCCATATATCTGTTGGTATTGGTATTAATAACAAATAAGTTATCGTGATTGATTCCTCTAACACAAGTTTTGTCGTTAAGAAGTTGTTTTCTTCGGCCTCCCCTTTTACAGCTATCTCAATAAACAAATTCACGTAAAAATCACGTCAATATCAAGGTATCGACTTGAACAGATTTACGTTCTTCAAACATTTGACATTTACGTGATTGTGTTAACACGTTTTTTGCACTAGGTCACTTATAAAACATATACACTAATTAAATCACGCAATTGTCACTGAAATATCACCATTATAATGCACTTGTCATTTGTAAGACGCACCTCTTGACCCCCGGGAATGGTGCGTCATGGTTGCGTCATCGGTTCAATGACGCACCATTCCCGGGGGTCAAGAGGTGCGTCTTACAAATGACAAGTGCATAACAAGTCAACGCAGAGCGTAGCATCTCCTTGCCGGGTACAGATGGCCTATATACATCAGAACAAGTTACCTCCATGGGACTATACTATTATATTACTAGGCAAGGAAGTTAACCACACTTTCACATATATAATAAGGTGTTTTTTTGCATATTTAATGATCTATGACCTTTCACCTTTGACCTACATAATCCGAAATCGAACTTAGGCTGTACATGTATTTTGATACCATGTACCTTCATATCAAATTTCATTAAAATCCGTCAAACAA